TGAACATTCACACTTTGACAGGGCAATTATCTATTTATCGACATCACATTCCCGGCTCGCCAAGGACCTTCATTGTCGGTACTATCTTCGTTGTTTCATAATATCTAATACTCGCCTTTCTTGTGCTACGCTATTAGGTGGAGTTCTACATCTCCTTCAAGTTTCAGTCGCCTGTGTACGCAGCCTTGGCGTCTAATACATTCAATACAATAGCCGGGAAGACTATGAATGCCTTCTACCATCGCTGCGAGGAGAAGTACCCACACAACAGACATCACAAAGACACTCCATTAGACCATCAATAAAAAAGTTCAGTAGGAACCGGTCAGAAAATATTGTACTTGAGTAGAGATATGCTTGCACACACAACAGCCGCGTATATTACTACAGAGATCGAATATGTTAAATTCTCCATACTTCAACCTGGTGGTGTCCACATGTGGAGCCACCTTGTGAGCTAGAATGTGCACATATTTGTCTCTCCATATCAACAATCCGCCCTGACTAACATTTCGTACATGCCGAGCGATGGCATCTACGGGTTGGTCGCTGTGGCCGTTAAATAGTCAGTTATCGTGCATCTGAGACACAATACCGGTATCGCCGGGATTTATGTTTGACTAGAACATCATTCTTGAGATATATCTCAGAGCGCATGAACTTGCGACTTATAGTGTTTGAGCCAACGAATATCCATTTGCGAGGCAGGACAAGCGTGTATTGTCAGCCTTGTATCGGGCAACTACCTAGGAGCTTGTAAGGTATAAAATACTAGCATCAATGTCCGCCGCAAACTCGTTGAGACTATTCAACGAAACCAATCGTTTCTCAAGGAACACGAACACATTCATGTGGAAGCAACTTGATCGTGCCACACCGTGCCACTGGCACATGTATGCGCACACAAATCGTTTGCTTAACTATATGAAGAACCAGCACCAACGCCACAAGTTAAGCCCCAGTACTCTATACGAACGTCTCAGGATAAGATTCAGTGCTTTATACGAGTGCGTGGCTTTGGAATGTTCAACCTACAGTAAAGACACGAATCCATTCCTTTGCCTCATTTCATATATTTATATATTTATATCGTACAAGGTGTTAAAAATCTCACTCGGAGTCACATTTACGGGCACGGTGCAATTCCCCTGGTTTTGAATTGTGTTCATTCTCACGGGTCAGCATATATTTCGGGCCCTACATCTACATTCGGATGGACATAAACTCATAAAGGGACGTTAGTAAAAATAGACTTGTTCGACCGATATAATGTATCTATCATACCTGCATGCATACGTCACCAAATACCAAGATGTTTATAGTTTTAGGTAGTACAACGTATGTAATGTAACATAGCTTTACTCATCTTTAATAGCCTTACTATCATTGACACCCTCACCAATCACGCTATCGATCAATTTCCAGGCAGCAGTCGCATCCGCTTCGTGCTCGAGTACGCGTGCATCCATCAAAACCTCGTCTCTCATCTCCAACTTGTAACTCTCGGGATGCTCTACAAAGCACTCTCTATGTAGTGCACAAGCGCTCTTATAACCTTTATGGCACTGAACCATCAGCACATATCGCAACTGATTTCGGGGTATATAGTCCCCGCACATCTTACAAACACACCTTCCCGTGGGTGCATAATCCACCATGCAATCGTGTGGATGCTTCGCTCGGTCTCGCTTGGCCCCAGGTGTAAGTGTGCTGATGTCGGGAAATCGCTTCACGTACAAATGCCCCAACTTGGCTGGAGTTTTTCTTTTACCTGCTACCGTGCCAGTGCACGATGGTTCCTTCTTAGAAGTGGCCTTGGCTTTTGGCATCGTGTCATGCTCGTGTGAGCCTACTTCTCAATACCTATTTCTGAGTTGTAAAAGAGTGATTTTTGAATTAGAACAAGACTATGTAAAGGTAAATACTGGACATATTCATTTACAGATATATGGATGCCTGACTCCTGATGTGACTTTTTTTTAATACAAAATATCATGCCGTAGACGTGCAGTTCAGTACATATTTCTTTTTGAAAAAACCCGAAACTTATTTATTATTACTTTTTATCAGTGCCATCAGGCATCACCGCATCAGCCGACACCCCGACAGCCCATCAATGCCGTCGCCGTGCAGACGGCGCAGTACAGTAATAAAAATACATTTTTATACCAATACAGACACATTCGAATTCGTCAGTCGATTTTACGCGGGCTATTCTTTATTTATTTATTTATATATTTTAGTTATAGACTTAAGAGTTTTGACTTCTGAACTATTTATTTATGAATACATATTTACACCATTTTGTACGAACCGTTTACGAAGCGCAGCAGTGATGCAAAGCCGCGGTGTTTCTTGCCTGCTCATCCGACATTGGGACGGCGAAAGTGTTCTGCGAGCCAGTGGATTGCAAAACTCTATCACACCTGGAAAGTATAGGTATTAACACGTATGCGTATGTGAACTTCCGGTATGCCGGCTTTATACAAGTCACATACAGTACCTACCATGTTGCGTTGGTCAACCTGAACCTGGATATGCACCCGGAGTTGAACGCACATATAGAGCTCACTCAGCCATAAAATTTGGTATTCAGCACAATCAATACACCATGCAACTCTCAGTAGATCAGTGTTGGGGGAGGTCGATCCGGACCTCACGGCCGGTGTTCTTTGGCAAGGCTAATCAAATGTATATTGGGTAAACTCACCATGCTAGTGGTCTCAACTATGGGCATACCCAGCCATTCCATATCCATCATACTATATTTATAACCACAACCAATCATCTTATTCGATCCACATGCTCCTCCAGGATACGGATTTGAACAGCCACAATTTCTGTCGGGAAGGGTTGGGAGATGGTGACCTTGGTACGTGATAAAAAAAATTGATGGCAAATTGGAAACGATGTGCCTACAACAACAAGCACGAAGGCGACATGTTTACCTACGGTGTGCATGAGCAAGTGTACTATTTGTGGAAGATTGCAGAAAGATGGACTGAAGGCGTCAAAAGTACTGTAAAGGACATGCGCTGTCCATCATATACATTCACCAATCTGACATACTCAGCCAAGTGTTTGTAATACGTGACGAATTCCCCACATCTACTTCAGAGCACACAACAGCTATACACGTGAAATAAATTTGCCGCCGGAGAACTAATAAACTTCGCATGACTTATTCACATTTTAGTTGCCTTGCTCAAGTTGACAGCTCCAGAAAACTGGCATCGCCTATCAAATTGATAGTAGTACATGGCTATCATTTTTACCCAAGTGGTATTTTTAAAGAATGGTTATCGTGCCTGGAAATAATTCTTGTAGATCATTTTACAGGGAAAAATGAAAAGAGAGAGATACAACTGGTTTGAGGTGCCTCTGACATGGGTCGTAGTTTCTGTGTCAAATTTAACTATCTTTCTAGTGATGCGGTAGCAAGCATCCCAACTTCGAAATGGCCTGTGAGATACGACACTATAAAGTGTATTGGTTCCGTAAACATCAATACGAAGACTCGGTGGAGATATTAGCCCATGCACAAATGTGGCCAAGTTGAAGCACACGGAGCAATTCATATACGAAAGTAATAGACTGAACGTGGACGCGGACGAAGTTGTTTAGATACACAGGTGTACGCGATATATAGTATATACGTAAAAAAATTGAGCTTGTGCACGTGGAGAGAATAAACATAAAGAAGTAGAAGGTCCTATTTAATACATACTATCTCATAGAACGTCTGGCATAGAAACCATGATATATTTATTATATAGTTCGCCGACTTTTTAGTATACAAACATACCTCGTTGATTTTTTTTAATATTAAACCAGATCGAATTAATATAGTTCGCTATTTGAAACTTTAAACATTGCGGGCTTCCTGCTTGGTTTCTTTTATATGGCCACAGGCCACAAAGTCGCACACGCCGGGGTTACCTTTGAAATTGAACTGATATTATAGGAGCTGAGTCTCGTCATGTTAGGAGGGCTGCCACAGTGTCTCTGAGGCACATCTCACACAAGTCAACAACCTATTTATTTAGTAAATAAATACACACGAGTGTCAAGAGATTTGCTACTATTTTTTATCGTTTTTTTTTATAGAAAACAAACTTATATTTATGTTGACACAATCTGCGTCTTATTTATATTACATCATCTGTATTTATGTAAATAGATTATCATATTATCGCAGAATCGGAAGGTCACTAGCTCACTATATCAGCTAATCAGCATATATTTGCATACACCGCAGAGTCCGGTTTGTAGTGACCCAGCCATATTTTGACAACATTGCATGCTATCTGGCACAATGGAGAAACGCGATCGATTAGTGGAGAAACGGAAGAAGTTAGAGGAGCTCAAACGGGCAAGAGAAGCACGTGCCAACAATGTCAAATCCACCGCAAGCATGGGCGCGGGTGCGCAATCAGGTGGTACTACACATCAACAGATGCAGCACCAGCAACAACAGCAGATGGATATAGATAACCTATTGACATCCATACTTAAGCCTGGTGATTCGCCTGTATCTGGATATCTATCGCCAAGCACGCAAGGAAAGGACATACAGGATGGGCATACAAGTCCTAATACACCAGACATAGGGCCTAGTACACCAGCTGGGAATTTGAGTGAGGACGAGATAGAGCTGAGCAGGAATGCAACACCCAGCAAGCAGCGGAACTCACCATATCCACCACAGCACTCGCCTCTGCAGCGATTCTCCAACTTGTCGGTATGTGTATGGGTTGCGGTACATAGAAAATGCAGGTCGCGGCTTTGTACATTTAAACAAATTTAGCGATTATAAATGATATATATATATATATATATATATATGTGTGTGTGGTGGGGTGGGGGGTGGTGTGTGTAGTGTAGTGTAGTGTAGTGTAGTGTATA